TTGCTTGATTTTGGCTCCTTCTAGATTCTTGGATGGCAACAAGTTGCTGCAAAACTGGAATGCATCGCTGTGCTGCTTCAGTCCAGTGGCTGAATGAGAGAATCTCTCTCTCAAAATGCTCATGTAAGCATTCAAAACCTTTGGCAGCACATATATTTTTTGTTGTTGTCATAGTCAATGGGATTCTCAACTTTTCTGCTACAGGTGCCATTAGGGAATTTTGAACTTGACTGGCTCATATTTACAGCAGATATCTTCTTTTTCTAGAGCATTGAGGGATAATCAACAGGTTCTTATTTCCTTTGAAGTTCTTTATTCTGTGTTTTATGTACAAACTGAAACTTACACCTTGTCTTCGATTATAATGCTTTCCTAATCCCTGAAATAGATGATTTTGCTTAGCTATGATCAGAGTTCTCTCTTATAGGTACTTTGATATCTGATGATGGCCTGCCTGATTTAGGCGGAATTAACGAAGAAGAGATGTTTTTGCTGATGAGGTCTGTCTTAGATATTTGTTGTTTTTTTTTTTTTTGGTGAAAAGATATTTAACTTTTATTGTTGCCCAATTTGTTAAGCATGTGCTTTTTATAATATTAATAGTAGTTGTTGTAGTAGTAATAACAATAGTTGATTTTTCAGCATGCATATATTTTTGTTATCTTGAAACTGAATGCCGTGCCTTCTGGGAATAGGTCCACCAACCTGTTCTTACCTACCCTGGAGCTTACAGAAGAGTTACAGTAGAGCTAAAGGTTTGGACGTCTATCTTTACTTGATTTCACCAATTGTACTGAGTTTTTAAAAATTAACAAGGACGTAATTTTCTGCAGATTCACCATCTGGCTGTAGATGCTCTTCTAAAAAGCAACCAAGTCAATGAGTTGGAAGGAGGTGCTTTGTTAGGGTTTGATCATGACATAAACTCTGGACCATTTGCCATAAATGATCAGAATGGCATTGATGAGGCCACTTCATGTGCACGTGCTTTTCGAGTCCTAAAGCAGTTAATCCAACGGTGCCTTGCAGATGCAGTTACATCTGGAAATGCATATGCTGATGCAATATTGCAACATCTATATCGATGGCTATGCAGGTTCAAATTTATCTATTTACTTCCCATTCTCATCTTTTTGGCTTAATGACTTCTTTGATCTTTCCTTCTCAAATTCAGCCCTCAATCAAAACTTCATGATCCAGCTCTTCACCAGCTCCTTCACAAGGTAAAGCAATTGTACATTAAAAGACGCTATATGATGCATGTGACAGTTGCACATGATGAATTTTATTTTGTTTCCTTTTCTTTGCCTTAAATTCATTCACTTTGTCCTCCAAAATGTGATAGTAAATTTACAATGGCAGATTGACTCGATTCATTTAAGTTTTTCTTAGATGGTAAAGCTTTTCCTCATGGTCAATTATTTCCCCCTTAAATTTGGCCTGTTGAAATCATGAGATTTGTCAATTATGTTTATGTGATAAAATCTTTAAATTTTTTTTTTCCGTGAATCCCATCAATATTTATAGGTCATGCAAAAAGTTTTTGCATTGTTGTTGGCGGAGCTCCGTAAATTGGGTGCATCAATTGTTTTTGCAAACTTCTCAAAAATATCGTGGACACAGGAAAACATGATCTGCCTGCAGCCAAAGCTTACTGTGATAGTTTGTTGCGAACTCTGCAGTCTAGGTTTGTCTCCTCAGTGCCATAGAAATTATAACACTTATCTATGATATTGTCAGTTTTTTTTTTTTTTAAAATCGAAGATAACAGAAATGTACAGTAAAGGCAACGAGTTGGACAGTTTGATCCACGACCTCATTTGAGAGTGAAACATTTACAACTTGTTCCTGATGAGCCTCGTTTTGTTGTGGAATAACCACTTAGTTCATACCCTTTCTAACTCTGGGTATTGCCTGTTCTATAGAGATCTATTTGAATGGATTGAACTTGAACCGCTTCAGTTCTGGAACTCATTGCTATTCATGGATCAGGTTCGGTCAGCCTTTTCCTTTGTTGTTTAGCCTGCACTATATGTGTTTGGGGTGCAAGAGTTTCTACGCTCCTTCTTTTTACAAATTATTCATTATTGATGAAGCAATTATACATAGCCAAGGAGCTTCTTTGCTTGTTTGAACAGATGTAATTAATACTTACATCAAGTCATTCTGCTTTGCCTTCTGTAGTATAACTATGGTGGAATACCAGCAAAATCTGATGATGCGATTAATGACGAATCTCAAGTTGACATTATATCAAGTTGGAACATTGCCGAATACTTGCCAAAGAAAATCCAGGTAAATTCATAGGATGAATTATAATATGAATCTAAAAGTTAATACAGGAAAAGAACCTAGAACATTATATTAGGTTGTTAGTTGGTTATCCTTTTAACATGGAGTTGATTGTTCTTTCCATTCCTATGTTATCCGGAATTCTTCTGGCTTTCTACAGGATCACTTTGTTTTCATTGTTTCTCAATTCATGTACATTCCCTGGAACTATGCACAAAGACAAGCTGCAATACCGGCTTCATCACAAAGTGGCGACTCCTGCACCCCATCAATCACTATTGGAGCTGCAGAGAAATTTGAATCACATGTGACGGAATATATTAAAGGACAGGTATAGCAATGACAGTGAAATTTATTTACGCTCTGTAGCTCTTGATTCCACATAATACTTGGTTCGCATTTCTGTTCTGCAGATCAGCTCTTACTTCACAGACAAGCTTCTGGGAATTGTTGGCGATATTATGCATCATATGAAGGAGATAAGACTAGAAAAAGACCAGAATGTATCATCTGGCAATCCTCAACTTGCGGCTGATTTCCACAAAGGGGACGCAGCCTTGGAATTTATCAAGCATGTCTGTGCCGTCCTCGCCCTGGACCAGAGTGTGCAGCATGACGTTCTGGTAATATCTAACGAACAATTCCTCATCGTGAAATTATAAATAACTTGACTGTTGTATTGTGATTTTGGTCACACAGTGCCTGATTTGCACAGTCAACTGTTGCATAATAGGCCAATAATGGGAAGATCTTCGGCAAAAAATGATGATGATGATTTCATCATCGTGAGCCGTAATTAGGGGTCGACTATTGTTATTTACTCCTCTCCAATCAAGACAAAAATAGAAGTTAAACAGTAGTGTTCATAACCATGAATGTTGATTTCCTGCCTAAATAATTTGAACTGGATAACCTTGTAAGGCAGCAAATTTTCCTATTCCTACGGTACCCCATGCTTAGCAAGGTAACAATTCTGTTTGTCCTTTGCTTCGTAGGTCATGAGAAAGAATCTGTTGAGATTTGTTCGGGTCAGGGAGTTTGCACCAGAAGCTGAGTTTCGTGATCCGAGTCATTCATTCATATTACCCAATGTCATCTGCAGGTAACAAGTTTTATACTAGTATTATTCATTGATTATTGATTAGTAATTAATGTTATAAATTTGCTGGATCCTAGCGGTACCTTCTAAAAATTAATCACGTCATACGCATCACATGTTTTTTCTTCGTACTTGAGTCATTATGATTTTGTTTGAGAGTCAGGTAAAGCAGCAGTTTGCCTTCGTTGAATATGGGTATTATCATCTATTTGCCAATTATATCAAATTGAATTTGCCGAGAACTGTGCATCACGTTCCAAGTGGATAATGTTATTATTCGTGCATTGAAAGAATCAAAATCATTTCTCCAATGTGTTTCGTTCTTGGACCTTCATCCGTGACAACCGCAAAATCTTTCAAAAAGGAAGTCTTTTTTTCCAATCAAAATATAGTCTGCGCTCACAAGTGTTACGGCTCTATCTTTTAATCTCTTATAGTTCCTCCTCCACAGCTCTCAAGTCGATCATCGTGCCATTATTAACATGACTTTCCAATCTTTTGGACAGCTACTGCAATGATTGCAGAGATTTGGATTTGTGCCGTGACTCAGCTTTATTAAGTCAGGAGTGGCATTGTGGCGTGCCGCAGTGTGGGCAGCCATATGATCGTGAGGTGATGGAAAATGCACTTCTTCAGATTGTACGACAGAGAGAACGGCTATACCACTTGCAAGATCTGGTGTGCGTCAGATGTTACCAGGTTAAAGCTGCTCATTTAGCTGAGCAATGTGCTTGTGCGGGATCATACAAGTGCAAGGAAGATAGAACTGAATTTCGCAATAAGATGCAGGTTTTCTACAACATAGCTGTTCGCCAAAAATTCCAGCTCCTTCAGGAATGCACCTCATGGATTCTAGAGTTGAGATAGCTCTTAACATTTAGTCGGCAACGGTCACTGCGTACATACGTCGAAGATGTCCCGGGCAGCATTACCAATCGTCAAATTCGACTTGTATAGAAGCCAAAAAAAAAACAAAAGAATGAAAATTCGATTATGCTTGGCTGGCCTGCTTAATACCATCTCTCAGATCGTCAGTTTCTTGAGACTTAATTCTTTTATTCGGTTAGTGCTAGAGGTATGTAAAATATGTATATAAATTATTTATATCGATCAATGATCAGGTATCAACATCTCTAGTACACTATTTGTGCCTTCCCAAGAGGAAACCGAGACTGAGTTTAATCAATGTGTTACGGCATTTCAAAAGCCTATACGTTCTCTAGTAAGGTAGAACGAAAACTAGAAAAGTAATTAAAAAAGCAATCATTTCCAACGTCTTCGCCAAACACATAATTGCAATCCTACGTCGCAACCCCCTTTAAATGGTGAAAGAAACGCATGGTAGGTAAATCTCGGTGAGCGAACTAAGCGGGCAACACCTGCAGCTTCACCTGAAGAACCATCTTTTGGAAGTTGAACCACTCGTAGGCTCATCCTTCTTTCTGCCATCTATGCCCTTCTTCAAAGACTCCAATCTGCTCCTGCATGAAATTCATAGGTTAAGTTAACCAGTGAGGTATTTTGAAGCTTAGAGAAATATGTGCATATTATCAGTGGCCAAACACCTGAATATAAAACAGTCAGAACTTCACTACTGAAAATAACCATTATTATCAAGTAACAATTCTATGTACGTGTTAGCCCATCAATCACTTGTTCATTCACATGTTTGGCTACTCTAATTGATGATATTCTGATAATTAATATGGTTGGCAGCAATAATTTAAAGTAAAAGTAACTCACTTGCATCAATGGATAGCTAATAACACTATTCAATAAGGTATTAAAAACCGAGTTGGTTATTAAACTGATCAAAACAGTGGATTCGATTTGGCAATTAAAAAAAAAAAAAAGGACCTGGATAACCCACCCAATCCGGTAGGCTACCTGGGTTATGACTGGGTCGCACTAGTTTGGATTGGTTCACACTAGCTGAAAATTTTCCAAGTTCAGGGGATGAACTGAACCAAACAAGTGGTCAATTCACCAGTTTGGTCCAGTTTTGCAAACATTGCTATTTAACAATATGCTATAGCAATGAAAAACATGGAAACTTGTCATGAATAACCATGACAGGATAAAAACTACAGAAATCATGTTGCTATCCATGATATGCTTCACAGAAATTACTTGGTATCAGTAAGGCGACCATGCAAGCTCCATCTTTGGCGGAATCCTTCAATGCCCCCTACCCCACTAGCAAGAATCAAGTGCCTGTAAATTGTACCACGCAAGACAAATAACAGTATTCAATACGTGAATTTTTGCATTGTATAACCATGAATTGAACAAGAAAGACTTTGATGTCAGAGTGACACATTGAGGAGATGATTTGTGCTTAGCATAGTATGGAATAAAGAAATAAAAAAAAAAAAAGTAACGGTGTCAATTGAGGATGTACTTTGCACTTCCAAATAGAAAAATAATAATAGAATTACATAGTTACCGTTAAGTAATGATAATAATTTGCAGTCCAATTGGGGATCAATACACACTAATAGTAAAGGAAAAAGTGGCGTAGTGCATTTACAGTGAAACGTTAAACCATTTCAATCAGCAGATAAACCATAACAACCACAGCCACCATCACCATCATGTTAACAGAAGTCATTCCCCAGAAAATTGTTTTTTGAAATAATAACAAAAGCTTTATCAAGTTATTCATAAATATAAGCTTAGTTTGCATCTCTTTAGTAAAATACTAATGAATATACCTTTCCAATGATGTAACTTCTGACTCAAGCTGAGCAGCCCTCTCCTTTGCATCATCTAAAGGCATGGAAGAGCCCAATTTACATTCACTATCTAGAAGACGTTTTCTTACCTCCTTATCCTGCAAATAATTTTTGCCAAGTGGAACATCATATCATACAAACTTAGTTTCCTTTTACACCTCCACTTCTAATGCAAGTAGTGAAAAAATAAAGCAAACATGTCAGGAGCTACAGAGAAAATAAAGGAGTTGAAATAATAAGGCAGAAGGAAGAGAGAGACAGCAAGTTTACTATCTTGAAGACATCTCCTTATTCTACTTATCCTACAAATCTAATAGCATAAAATTGCACTTCCTACATCTCCATCTTCATATACTAACATTAGAGGAATATTGCACATATGTCGAGAGATAAATAAGAGAGAGCACAAATGACTTCAATCAGTAAAATGGAAGATGAAGCCATTGAGTGAAGCGTATCTGTCACAGTTATCTCACCCTCCTTTCAGCACATTGGCGATATAGAGCAATCTCGTCTTGACAGAATGGTTCAACGTCGTTGATCTGCAAGCCTGCAACATTTAAATAAATCTGAGTAATGTTTTTCTGAATAAAAAGACTCACAATTAACATTGATCTTCAAATATCTGAACTTTTGAGGAGGTCAAGGTATTTGTTTGTTCAGGCTATTTGGAGGGCATTGCCTGTATACATGTTGGGACTATGACCAAAATAAGGTGGTCTAGGAGTCCTATTTTCGGTTGGCATCTAATGCACACAGATAGAGCAAAATAAGAATTCTAGCTCAACAGTTTCTTATGACACTTGTAAGGGACATGGTCATTCCCTGCCTCTCAATGGGTTTCTGCATGAGGTTTTCAATGGAGTCAATTTGCTATCATGCTCAGGGACTGGTTGCTCTTTTGATCTGTCCTTCGTTAGACTTTTTCCCTGTTCTGTGAGGATTGCTAATCTTTCGTATTTGTACTTCTTTTCTCTCGTGAATTATTTTCTTTAACCTAGAAAATGTTCAAACACTTCATTCATCAGTAAAACATATAACAGCCTACACTCTTTTTCTACCTCAGCTGAAATGTATGACCAGAGCTGGAGAGAAATAATCTATAGATATCTAATCTGCTCCATAACAACCAGAAGTGAAACGATGTAGTGACCATCCCTGGTTTTAGCCCCCACTAGCAACTCGGTTTTACACCATTTGAAGTGGTTTTCTGTAGAAGGAGCTGAAACTTCTTACAAAGGAAACATCAGTACTTACACAAAAATAGATTCCTCAGGATTTCATCACACAAATCAACACCTTCAAGCACATGGGAGGCTATTTCTGGTGGGACTAGAGGCGATGGAGGCCCCATCATTAGATCATCCCCAACCAATATTGTCTCTTCCATGGTTGGCTGTGAGTCAACTGAACCACACAGAAAGTTATAAGCATATTAATCAGGTACAGTTTATCAATTGTCAAAAACTAAGCCTTTCTAAACAGCAGGATGAAATTATACACATGGAATGTTATAAGCAATCTTATTATAGAGAAATAGAAGATGATATGAAAGTTGTGTGTATTCGATAGTCGAGCAAAGGGTTTATACACATGAAAGGAGCCGAGGTATTAATGACTCGTAATGAGTAAAATAAAATCCTAACAGAATAATATCTGATCCTATAATAACGGTACAGATTATACTATTTGTATTAATGATAAGATATTCTCATATCATCACACTTATAAAGAGTTCATTAATAGTAAAATTCTAAGCCTTTATTAAAATTTTACATAGTTATATGATATTCCTATCCTATAGTACGGAACCTATTTATAACATGAACAGCATCTTTAACAGCAAAATCGGAAGTATCGTCTACTCGTGAAGATGAAGAATCCTTAAATCAAATGCACAATCAGCGTCAAACAAGATGCAGAACCTATCCGCAGCACTAATCACTGAGACGGCCTAAGTAAAATCCAATAACAGAGTTCCTGAATTCACGTACCATCCATGGTTGCTTGATGGTAAGTCTTCGGCGCAGAAACTCAAAAGAGGTACCTATATCCTGCAACGAAAAGGGAGTATGATAATCAAACAATGCAATGGAAGATGCAAATCCTGAGTGCAGCATTTCATCAAACATATGAAAGTCAACTAAAGAAGCGATCAAGCAACCATAATTTCATAGAGACGAGTTTAGACGAAGAAATACAGCAGAAGCAGCTTAATATGCATCTGAAAATGAAGAAAGAGAAAGAAAACAGAAAGAAATGGCGTGAAGCAAATCAAACGAAGAAGATACCTGATGCAGCGCGGCAGCTTAAGAGTACACGCCAATGCCTGTGGTCTGGGACTCTACTCTTGCTCTTTCAGCTCAGCTCTTCGATTTCAACCCTCACTTCGAAATTTTCATGCACTCTCTTCTCCCTCACTCTCCTGAGTCTGAGTTCCAGTTATTACCTTCGTCCAGGTTCGTTGTTTTTATACTGTATTGCGAATGAAGGCGAGGAAATACTCGCAGCGAAACGAAGAAAATCAGTTTTTTTCGGAGAATTTCAATGAGTTCTTAAAAAAATGAGCTGTTGAGAGAAAATAATTATCAAAAAATCTCAACGACTTAAACAATTTTTAATGATAAATATTAGAGTAAAAAAATAACAATTTTTAAAACTTATTTAGTAATTATTTTTTTCTTAGGACTTTATTGTAATTTTTCTCTCTCTTTTTTTTTGCCAACAAAAATCAGCATTACTATAATTATAAAAAATTATTATAATAATAAAATATTGCATGGAAAAAATAAAAATATTGAAGGTTGCATGAAGGTTACATATATAATATGAAATTCAATTAAAAATAAGTCAATTAACGATGTCGCCTTCCTTCGTTGTGAAAATTTGTTGTGCTTTGATGTTAATTTTGGCTAGGTTGATTAACATTTACCTTGGTATTAATGTGTGCGCGCGCGCATAGATCTGAAGATCACACATTTTAACAAAATTTTCTTATTATAATAGTTAAACAAAACTGAAAGACACTTGAAAACATTATTGTGAAATGAGTACATTATATTATATTGCGATATGGCACTGTTCAATTGATGTGTACGAGGAATTAAACAAGACCTCCCCCAATAAGTCATCAGGGCATAAGTGAGAGAAAAAAGAAAGCAAATTGTTTCGTGAGGCGAAACCATCCACTGAATTCAGTCCATTAAAAAAAAAAAAGAAGAAGAAAATAAACCAAAAAAACCATCCACCGGAAGACTGAAGTTTCATTATTATTTTTTCAATCACTGATCTTCGACCTTTCTTTCAGAAGAAAGAGAAGAACAGGTTAAACCTGGGACTGCGTCAGAAGAGAGGCATGAATACATCAAGATCCTGAGAAAAGAATTTAATTACTCTATTAACAAGTGAAGAGTAAGTAATCACAAGTCTCATAATAAGAAATGACAATAGGTTAATCATTTATTATTAAAATTTTTTGATAATTAAATTTTTTTTCTTCAAACCTCTTGATAATTCTCCCTGACATCAATTACTTCGGCTTTTTGCACATACCTCTCGTTTTTACGGCGTTTTATTAACCCGAAGAGTTCTCCGGACGCGTTGACTCAAAGATGATCTCATTGCTACAGACAGTGAATTTTTATCCTGTGTTTTCCTTTTTACGGCGCGAAATCGGTCAGTCTCTTCGTCGCCCCCTTGTTTCTGCCCCATTTAATGCTATAGGTTGATTTATGCGTTATTGCTTCTTTCATCAAGACAACCGAAAAAACAAGTGGCCCTTTTGAAGGACATAGAAGCCTAGTTCATGAAAACATAAAGTACTAATTCCTCTGTTGTTAACACAAATGTGAGCGTTAATGGGATAACATTTTCTGTGTATTACACGAAACATGACGAAAGTCACATGGGGCTAAAGATTTTATATTTTTATATATATATTTGTCCTTTTAACTTTCTCTTCTATGCAATCGAGAACATAGGCCAGGTTGTGGTTGATATGCCAAGTGATCATGCACGCCTGTATTCATCTCCGCAATCACCAATCACTTTAAGCAGATCTTTTCCTTTCCCTGAGGCTTCTTTTATGCTGTTAACGTCCTCCTCATCAAGAACAAGCGAAAAGATGGCACTCGTGTCTTGAATATGTTCAGACAGGCCAAGTCTGACACCAATCATTGATCCTGCTACAGCGGGCTGAAAGTTTGGAAAAAACCAGAGTGAAAGGGATATTCGCATGAGTTTTTACACACGTGACATCTCAAAATGATATGCAACTTTCTGAAAATAGTGTGTGTGTGTGTGTAACTTTACCTGATCGAGTATGTACTTAACAGCAACAGTTGATATCGAAACCCCATGCTTCGAAGCCACTTGTTTGAGTGTCCGAAGTAGGCCCTGGAACAGACTCCATCCTCCCCAAGCATCTACCATCTGTTACATATGCAAAATAGTTAAAGTGAATATGATGAATATAGAAGGACAAAAATTTAAAGTCCACTCTCACAATGGTCTCATACAGGCAGAAAGCCAATGCGCACAATCGCATATTTGTTCTCGCCTATTCTAGGCCAAACTTTTATGCTTTTGCTTGTCTATTTAACAAAGTTTTCAGTGTAATGAAAATCAGACGTGGAAGAAACTTCAATTGATTGAGTTTCTTAAACTAACTCATGATAAATAATGAAGGTAAGAAATCCATACCCTTTTGTACTTCTGGAGGGAGGGAGTGTTTAATGGAGGACCGGCAAACGGAATAGTTATGTTGGTGTCAAGGAACTTCTCAGACAGTAGACCACCCATTACTGTTCCATACCTGCAACAGAAAATGATCTATTCAGGAAGAAATAAAAGTATTGTTGGCCAACTAGTGATGCTGTGTTACTAAAATGGTAGAGGTTCGTAGAACTCTCTGGACAAAGAATATAATAAATTGTTATCCCAGCCATGAGGTGTAAAATTCAAATATAAACTTGTTGGAGCTCGGAAATTTCCAGCCATATTCCCTTCATACTGGTGAACATTAACTACTGACTATTTCAGGGGAAAAGAAAAGGAAGGGGGGGTTTGCAAGTTTGATTATGTCGCAGGTAAATAGATAGAGAGAGAGAGAGAGACGTTATAAGTTTGACTCCTGTAAGCTGACAAAGCTCTGCCATTTTCTGTTGGGGACGCATGTCAACAATTGAATGTTGCACCTGAAGATAGAAAAGTTCCAATGGAACTCAGTTGACTGGGAGGAAAACATCAGTAATGCCAATAACAAATGTTTGACAAGCTAGAGCACGTGGATTTACCTGATTGCTTACAACCGGAATCTCGTTTTCAAGAATTATTTGCAGTCTCTCAGTATCGAAATTTGTCAAGGCAACAGTCTTGATTTTACCTGCATATGACTATGTTAAGTTGTTCAATCAAATGAAGAAGTTAGGACTTGCACGTGAATTCTATGCAATTATTCAGAAATAATACTAACCTTCTTCTTTTAAGTCTGTGAGGTGTTTTAGTGCATCTAAGTAACCAGGATTCGAGTAATCCCACCTAAATCAATCGCAGAGTAAATTTTTTAAACAGAAGAAACTTAAGACTCCAGAGGAATCAAAATTAACTACCAATGGAGTTCATCCAGATGAATCAAGTCAAACACTCATTTGAGAAGCACAGTCGAGCTGAATAAAGAGTTTGCTAGAAAATGGAAAGCAATATGGATGATATTATTCAACATATCGATCATTAACCTTTTGAGTTACAAACCAATTAACAAGTTAACATGTTGACAGGAATTAGCGCTGTCTCACCCGCTACTCCCAGAAGAACGTCAAACAACCGCAAGATCAACACTAGGATTAAAATTACCAATGAAACTGAAGCATGTCCAAGGAAGCGACATCCATTCTTCTTCGCGAAACATCAATGCTGTCTCTCACAAAGCTACTGGTCATCTTAACGGGCGGTGGCACCCACTTGGTGAGACTGCATCACATGACACAATAGGTAAAGAAATTAACTTCCCTAACATACTTAAAAATTTGAAAGTTTCTACATAGTATATTTGGTGGATGAGGTCGTAAACTACTTGAAATTTGCTTCGACCAGTGAAAAAGCAATTCAGTCACATGATCAACTCAGAACTCACCCTCTGACCTTTTCCAAGAATTCAGGTGGGCGCTCACGACGAACTCGATTGATGAAAATGCCATAAAGGTCTTCAGCAGGTCCATCTGAAAAGTTCGTAAAAGGGAGCCATGAAGCGCACAATTCACATTTATTTTGGCCAACATATAAAAAGCGGTTTACGTCAAGAAAGAACATTAACAATATCCCACGATCACATAGGCTACCCAACTAATTAGTTACTCCAGAGGCATCTTTAGAAGATTTAGAATGCTTTAAAGATGTACAAGCTCAATCCTTTCCCTACGGAGGGTCATACGGATACAAACAAAGAGACGACTAAAGGTAAGTTTAATCGTGCAAGTTCCATACATATATCAGCCATATCAAAAGTGGTGAGCCCAGCATCAGCATATTTAAGCATATCATCAACTGCATTATCTGCATCAATTCTGCCCCATCCACCGCTCGTTTGCCACGTCCCATTCACAACCCGGCAAATTTCCAATGAATCGTTCCCATTCTTGACGACAATGCGCCGGCTATCCTCTGTTTGCACACATTGAAATGGCCTCAAATGCTTACATTTTCGTGCAGTGATACCCCTCCTAGTTAGTGTATCATTGGGATCGAAGGTGAATTTGCTCAACGGATGACGCAATAACAATGCCATTTCCAAACACAAGTGTCAACAACGGCCTACATAACTTCAGCAGTTTCTTCTGTTCTAATAGCCAAGTAAAGATAGAGACACACACACGGGCGCGCAGTGTCGCTGCTCTATCCTAAATCGACCTCTATGTGCTCTCCACCTTTAATTTTCTCCTTTTTAAAAATATTAATGAATAAATAAATTCTATATTTGGTTTTTCGGTTATTAAATACAGACGCAGCCGGGGGCCCATTAGACACGTAAGAAGTTATCTGACATGGAACAAAATGTTAATAGGACGCGTGGAGAGCGTCTGAGAACTTTACTGTACGTACAGTGGTCAGCCATGTCGAAAGTGGATAAGCCAGCGTCGGCATATCGGAGCATCGCTTCGACGGCGGCGTCTCGGTCGATTCGGCCCCAGCCACCGCTGGTTTGCCACATGCCATTCAGAACTCGGCAGATTTCTAAGGAATCATTCTTATTACTCAATGTGACTTCGCGGTTGTCACTCAAAACTCCATAAGAGCACCGAACCGAGCTTACACAGAGCCCACGCGTATCTAACCTTGTCCTATTCCCCGTTCTGGTGCACTTGAAGCGGGTGAGGTTGGGAAGTAGGTGGGGGTGGTTCCCGACGGCTGCCATTTCTAGGACAGGGGCAACAAGGGCGCAGAACGAAGATAAGACGTTTTGCCTGTTTTCGTTCTCTCAACCGTAATGACGATAGCGCCACCACTATCTTTTTTTTTAATTGCGCTCATTGTCAAGTGGGCCTATAATATATGGGCAGCCCATATGGATTTGGGTTAAGTTGGGTTCGGTTTGATTTATCTTTCAGCAGTCAGCACCATACTGGACCAGCCCATAAGTAGAAATAGAAAGTACCGGAGAATTACAAGTTTGCTTTAAGCGGGATTGGCCCAAAAATGATTGACAGGCAGCTAAAATGGCAAGTTTGCGCAGTTAGCTACAAGTTCAGAGGAACTTTATGGAAAAGGAAAGCTATAAAAGCCGGTCACTTTAGGGAACTAGGGAGAACATAAATTCAGAGGGTATATCGGGAAGAGATGGCAGTTTTTGCCCAAATTGAGGCCTTTATATGTAAGGAGCATGAAAGGCTTGAGGTTTTGCACTAACACGAACAGTATATCAGTTATTCAATGAACACGTGAAATGCCACTTACTGTGTTGCGACGTCGTCGTTCTTCACTGTTCACGTGAATGGGACTTCCATTGTATTTGAATTACTATCTGCGTTTTGTAGGTTATGATCACAAAAGCTCGTTAATATGACACCCTGCTTGAGCCATCACATGAGTTTAAAAAAACCAGCTCCGTTACCATCAAACTTACTGATAAAAGCTTCGGTTAGGTTTTGAATTAGATACCACTTTACCTGACGTTGAACATGTTAAATGATGTTAGCAACATGCCTTTCATCAACCACATTTAACTCAGAAAGCAATACTCTCGTTTTCAGGCTTCCCGGCTGTAGACTTCATTTCTTACGTAAGCCCAGGAGTTGAATCCTTCTCACACGCTTCTAGTTTTTACTCATTGAAAGAGATAAATATTACTTTGAATGTTTTTTTAATTTTTTTTTAATAATCACGCATATATTATAGTCATAGAGAGTCGAAATCACAATTTGACACTTAAATGCTTAGAAAGCCTCGATATTACCCACTAGTAGTTGTGAATCAAGGTTTGCCACCCTCGTTCCTTCCGCTCTCAACAAGTTCAATTACTAGTAACTTCACATCTAAGATTTGGAGGGAGGGTATGTTAAACCTTCCACCAATGATTTCGAGAGCACCATCACCATATCCTCTCGTTCTTCGAAGTTTTAACTTCCCCGTAATTTCAGTTGCAAATATAACTTCAACCGGCTCTATTTTTGGGATGTTCAATTTACTCATTTATTTATTTATGCTAACGGTCAGTTATTAACGTGTCAGCTTGCATGCGTTTTTTAAGACTAGAAAATTCCTTGTCAATAACATTTGAATAATGTGCGGCGTGCTTGCCTTCATTTTTTGGTTAGATAACGGCTGCACGATTCCAAGGTCATGCTCCCTGAAAAACGCTTTCCACAATGAAAGGAAAGAAGCAAGATGGCAATCACAAATAATTAAAGAGCATCATTCAAATGTTGGACATGGGAGAACTACAATCCAAATGTGAACTGTGCAGAGGCACACAACGCACAAAGGAAAATGAAAAACAGAAGGAATGAATTAGAATAAGAAGCGGAAGAAGCATCACTTTACTGCATGAGAGGATCCTCCAGAGGAAGACCCATGATTCAATAACCACTGAGTTAAATCAAAACAAGATTCAGAAAGGGATTGAGTTCTTCTGATCTAACTGAAGGAGAGAATTCAACTCGAGGATAAAGATTCTGCTTTTGACTCCATGTATCTGATGATCCTTCGCTCCATCTGCATTGAGAGATCATGTTACCTTATTAGTTGCAATATACGGATTAGGATGAAAGGTTTACATCGCAGAAGCAATGTAGGATACCCGAATGTAAGGCTCCAACTTGGTCTTGGTAGAACTAAATTCACTTTTCACCCACATGAGGCTTCGATCAAACCTGAATAGCAAAGTTTCCATAAAAAGAGGGGCAAACACATATGTAACACGATAATGCCATGCTTCATAATATAAATCAACAAGAACGTTGGTAAAATATATACAGAGTTCCAAATCCAAATAGATGCGAACTGTCATGAATATATTCAATTCTAAATGAAAGATGAAGTTATGAACAAGCTAATTCTTTAAAAGTATATCTGCCCATATGGAAAATAATAAATTGAAATGATTGAATAAGACAGAGCATTTACTTTCTTTTATGGTTCTCATCGCAAGCCTGAATCAGACCAGGACATGCAAGCTTAACATGCTCTGCACCAATGCTGTAACACCATCAACAAATGTAAGATGCAGCTCCAAATACCTAATAAGAAGCTACAAAACTCTTTGGCATCATAGTCTCTTCGTTATTCTTCCCTAAACATGGAATCCTAACTGTTGCAGCTCGAACAATGTTGAGTGTTGTATAAGCTACATTGCGGTATTGAACTTTATCAAGTATTTGGGTTAATATATTGTGAACAAACTATTCATGATAACGTAAGAGAGAAAACATGGGGAAAAGTATGAGGAGAGAGGTGAGGGCATTGTGTTTCCTCTTCTTTTTCCTTTGATGAACATTCCCCTAATTTCCATTTTCTAGGAAAAAATGTTTCATAGAATTGTATAACAATTTGAAACTATACACTCCCATTAAAGACTGAATGGCCATCTCCAATCCTGAAGAAAGGTGAAAGGGCATTGTGATGGATAGACTTTGCATGCTACCTTTTGCTCTTGTCCTCTATTTCACGAGCAAGGGCAGACAACTTCGTTAAGTCAACATATGACTCGTCACTGTAGACATAGAGACACCGGTTAGAAAATCGAATTCCACGATCAGCTTAAATGGACAGTCCATGAAGTAAGCATTATCATTACGCATGACTCGAAAGATCTGAAAGGATCGCTTCCACATCTTTGAAGTATGCTTCAATGAGCTTCACAACACAATCTGGTTCCTCAGATCTTCTCTGAGAATGAATTCTATGAAACTGATCATTCATTATACCCTGAAAAAAATTTCAGAAGAAAAGTGATATAAGATCTGAGCATTGCTTTTGCAACATCGTTTTGAAAAGAAAAGGCTAGTGCATGATAGAAGAATGATATCTCAGTACACTTAAATAAATTCAACTGGCGAGTCTACCATAGATAGGCAAACAAAAGAAACATCAGGGAGAAAACCACAACAATTTTAAAGGTGGAGGTGTCCTTGGGCAAACAGCCCAGCCATAGATCACAATACAATACACTCAACAAGGAATCTTCTACCTCGTCTAACAATGAATGCAAATATTCCTGGTGCAATCCTTTGAGAATTGGCAAAGTCATTTTCTGTTGGATGCACAAACGAAACAACCCGAAAGGAGAAAACTAGAAGAATAGTTAAGGCTTAAGTCAGAAGAGATGATCTTGCATAAAAGGTGCTTCTTTTTTATAGACAGATTTGAAATTTTGAAGATAGAAACAAAATATACCAGATAGATGAATGAGAAGTCATTCAAAACAGACTCTGCCAGAAGGTCATGAGTTAAGCATGAGCCCTTATGTAATTAACCACCAAAATTTGCAAATTATCATTAATGCCATTGTCAATGACAAATGGCAAGGCAGTTATTTTTACTCCCTGCTTGAATGATACGAATCCAAATAAGGCTATAAGGTATGCAGTAAAAAAAAAATTAACATTTCAGAGTTAAGCATGAGCCCTTAAAACGCATGATTGAGTTTCCTTCCTAATTTTTACTCTTTCCTTTCACAAGCATGAAGAAGTTCAGCACATGCACGCCTGCCATTCTCAGCATCAACACTATGCAACAAGGAAAAACACAATTTTATTGCTTGAAAAGTGCCTAAGGTAAAATAGAAAAAGCGAAATCCATGCACCTGGCTCATTACTGTTGATGTGATTTTTTTAATTAAAAAAAGGTCGATGATATAATAATAAAGATAATAACTTCAAAATACTTTGATTTTAAAAGGAAAGAAAGAGCCCAAATGTAGAATATAAAAGAAATAGAAAACGTAATCTGGTTCTCATTCAATGATGATAGTTAAGAGGTGGGATAAAGGCGTCTCTACTTCTCTTTCCCTCTACTTCCCTCCACTTCCCATCTCAACTAGAAGATTGCAATTTAAACAGTCCAAATTTCATATTTTATAAAATTGTGAATAGAAAGTTAATTTTTGTAAAAAATAAATAAATAAAATTAAACCACTAAATTTTAGTTATGATAATTTAAAACAGTAATAAAAATCTTTTATAAAATTATATTTCATATAATATGAAATCTAAACTGTTCAAATTTTAATCTTAATAGTTGGGTTAAGAAGTGAATAAAAATAGAGAAAAAATGAAGTGGAGAGACTTTTCTTCCATGAAGAGGTACAGTGGGTACTCTTATATAGAGCTGAAACTTAGAGACTCAAGATGACATGTAAGCAAGATAGTTTGATTATTTGACCACACTTACAACTAAACCATGACAAACTATAAGCTTTAAACTGTATTCTAATAGAATGGATTCATAAAAATCTTACAATGTTCTTCTTAAAGTAGAAAAATTTCGTCAAGAGTCACGAAATATGAGGGGGGGAAATCCGCCAAACGTGAACTCTAAGATAGAGAAAGTTTGAGAAAATAGCTGAGATACCGTTAAAGACTGCTTGAAAGCAAAGCCATTTATGAGAGAACAAATCAAAGCAAATTCCATCTACCATGGAAAGAGGCGAATAATATTTCTAACATTAGAAAAATGACTACATTAAAGAGAGAGAAGAGAGGAAGAAGAATTACAAACACATGAAAATGAATTAGAATTTAGAAGTGAAAACGATATAAGCTTTCGCTCATGGACTGGACGAAGCAGCGAAGCTGGCTTTTCATAATAGACACAGCCATCTAAGAACTGAGCCTTGAAGGCGAGAATCAGGGAAGGAGGAGCAAGAAACAATGGGGTTTGAGTCTAGCAGAAGGAGTTAGTCTCCCACAACGTAGTGAACCAAGGTTCGAATCCCCACTGGGAGAGATGCTCATATTTAGTATCCGACAGTGTCTCAAATAAGATTAACTCTAACAAGAGAATACATCTGCTTTAGCAAAAAAAAAAAGGAGGAGGAGCGGGAAGAAGAAGAAAAGGAACGCACAGTGATGAGCTGGCATATAATATGAACAGTGCACCAGAGATGACACGGATTATGCTCAAGATTTTTCCTTGATAACTATCTCATCCCAACAAAACCACGCGAGAAATGACGAGGGTGCAGGCCGTGGCGATGCGCTAACAAATATGAGGCCCATTTTCACATTTCTATGTATTTTGCCGGCCCAATTTTTCATTTTCGACCCAATATTCATCTTGCCTCTGGGCCACATTTTATTATGTCCAATTGGAATTTCATCGTTCTCATATTATTTTGTCCAGTTCCATTACATGGAAATAATGAAGAGTACCAACAATTCCTAACGAGAAAGGCTAATTCTTCCGAATTTGCTGAATTAAAGTTTAAATTTTTGTTGGGAAAATTTGACGAATAAAAATGGTACGAAACATTAAAATGATAATAAAAATTAGGATTGAGATTAAAAAAAATACATTAAAACAGTGTTTAGTCTGAGTAACTGCTTATTAATGAGAATTGGACAAATATCCATATATATGGGATTCAGAAATATCACAGGGTGATATTTCCCAATCCTACTTACATGAAATTGTTTAATATCATGTAACAAAAAATTACTCATATTAAACATTATTTAATATTTTTTAATCTCAATCCTAATTTTTATGCCTCACTTTCAACACTTTATATCAAACAAGAGCTAAGGTTCGAATCTTATTGAAAAAAATGACAATATTTACTGTTTCGCTACTTGAGGGTATACGTGTCTAGCAAACAATGATGATGATGATGAGTGACGGCATTGACGTGAGTTGCTAAATGCGTTTGTGGGCCCCGCCGGAGGCAGAGTAGTGATGATGAAATGAAAGCACTAACGTATGTATAAACTCAACTTGATGTCATGATGCATGTCAGAGTCGAAAATGAAAATGACACTTATTTGCGGTTTCACGTTATATATATCTTGGTTAATAGTAGATTCAATTAAATGACCATTAGTATTAGAGACTTCAATTCAGTGTTATATACGTCATCTTACCTTTCCCCCTTTTTCTCTAAACAAGCAAATTTAAACTTGTTCTTTTAGCAAGCAAAAGTTTATTTGAGTTAACTAGGCTTTGGAGTTCGCAAATTTAACACAGGTTTCGTGACTTTAAAAACGCTACATAGATACAGATACTTATAAAAGGCATAATAGTAATAAAAAGGTGTAAAAAATTCGTCTTTTTCTCAAACGCACGTACGTGCACACACGCCAAGTGCGAGAAGGATGATTTTCTTGAGAATAGCACAAAGCACGCATGCACGCACTTACTCTCTTACCCACCAGTTGTTAATTTTTAATTGGCTAAGTTTATACAAACAGATCGCAAGGTACTGCTGTGAATTTTGTAGATGCTTTTATTAAAAGAAGTAAGAATAACCATCATGCGTGCCAATACATTAATTACCAATATCATTAATTGTGTCGACGATTCTTCCCACTTCATTTGGTGTCAACTCACATCTAGAATACCCAAAAGCCATAAACTGTGGCTAAGCTCTGTGTGTATATATTAAACATGTACCTGAGCTCCACATATATATTTTCGGAAAACCTGGATGCGATTTGGATACTTATGAGCTGCAAGAACTTAATCAAACATATATTTATACATTAATCCCCTCTTCCTGATACTATTTCTAATCCTTAATATAAGATTTGAGTTTTAACTTAATTCCAACTGCAAACTTGAAGTTAAGAACGAAAGCTACTACTAATTTATAGCTCGATCGGTCTCTCTCTTAGCTCTGTCAATCACTTACGATGTCAATTCAATTTAACTGATATGACACGACATAACTTTATGAAGCGTGTTTATTAGTTTCCTAGCCAGGCTGTTTCACGCACAGACAGAGACGCTCCCTCCATTAAAGTTCTGGGGATACCTCGCACTTGCACACAAGATCTAGAGGCTTATATTCTGAGAAAATTGATTAAAAGAAATTAAAAGGAGTATGGAGTTATGGACCACGCAACACAGAGAGATGAAAAGGCAGTATAATCATTTTGTGGGTGACTTGGAATGGGAGCCCAATTGAAAGCACGAGGAACACCTGATTAACAAAGGGAATGCAGGAATAGTACTATACTATTTCTTCTTCCTTCTCTTTCCGGGTCAGTATTTAAAGCTGACACCAGAAAAAACTATTGCAGCAGATAATAAGGAATCTCTGGGAGCATCATCAACATATATCTCTGCTTGTCGGCTTTTGATGTTTGAATATTAACACATGTTTGTTTCGTGTGTGTATATTTATATTTGTTACCCTAGGATCCGTGATTTAATTTGATTCTCTCTGTCCCAACAGAAAACATTGATCTGATTCGATTGTACATGTTACTGAGGAGCGCGCACATTTTGTATTATAAAACACGAGTCTGATTTCTTTCCGGCCCTTTCTTAATTCATTTAAAACCTATACTACTGTAATAAAAACTGCACAATCGATGATGGTGCGTCCAAACGGACAAGGTTTTATTATATATTCATCCCGGCCGGCCCCTAGCTGCCAAGTTAATTAACATTGTTAAACAGTAACATAATGCTGTAAAGCTAATTGAGTCTCAGCTTGTGAATTTGGAATATGCCAACTCGATTAGTTAAAAGTAGCCAAACACAGCTTTTATTCTCTCTACCTATAAGGGCCCACTTGAAAACAAGCTAGGTCACGTAATAATAGCGCAACAGGTGTGATTTATTGCTGCATATTAGGCTCCGTATACAACCAGATATCTGGCAGAAATATGTGGTCCAAGCTCATGGTGTTTTAATTAATAGAGCAAAATATATTCGATATATAATCACTTGATGACATTTGAGGCACGCATATGTATGCATATACCGTAATGAAAAATAATAAGTTATAAAATGACGTGGGAACAGGAACTAGTTTAGCTGTTACAGATGTATGTAGACACATCCATGACTAACATCACAAAGAGAATTCAAGATCTCGAGAGACGACGTTCTCAGTTTTTGAAGAATGTTGAGGTTTGAAGTAAAGAAGCCGGCACCATATATATATATATATATATATATATAGCTGCGTATAATTATATTATTCCATAAAGAAAACATGTATATAGGCACCTTCTAAAGCGGATTTATGGATTTTGGCTCGTCTTTTTTCCTGTAACGTGTAGACGGTGTATGATTACCAGTTTCTTCTTTCGTTATTAATAAATGGTTAATGAAGTCCCATTGATTGAATCAGAAGCGATAGGATTGACATGACAGGATAACTTAATTAGAAACATCAGAGAGAGAAATAAAGAAATGATATAAAAGATGGATTGGCCACTGCACCTTTCCTCGTGCTTCAGATTACATCCTCCCGAGATTTGTTGGGTGGGGATCATCTGATAAACGCATGCATGCAGCCGTCCTTCTCCTTTCTCCATGCTATAAATTCATTGAACCTGACATTTTCTCCGTTGTCCTTTATTTTTCATTAATATCTCACTCCCAGTGAATGGCTTGCTACGTGAAGCTGACTTAGGAGATAATGATGTGATAGGATGGAGTGTACGTGGATAATGATTTGAGTGTTCCATTGTTCATATGTTTTTTTTTTAAATAATAAATATGAAATTGAAGTACCTGCCTTCTATTTTACATATTAGCTATAAACCAATCCCCCTTTAAAGCAAGATGATTCATTTGTATATGGATTAGGAGATTTGAATTTATACTGAATTGACTGAACCATGCATGAACCAAGAATTATGACATGTTACTAAATCATGTGCAATTGATGAATAATAAAACTGCTAAATTCAAGTCTAACTTCTACGCATACCACACTCAACTGATTATCTGCAGATTTGGGATTACGTTTTAATCACTTATGAACTCGTTTCATATAAGTCAACTCAAAACTCTTCTCTTATACTTGTGTCGTATTTCGTAAATTACGATTGAAAAGTTACTTATAAGTTATTTTAAATTGTCACTAAAGTGTTTTTGTTGTTTTCTTTTTTATATTTGAAGCAAATTATTAGTTGTTCTTTCTATATATATATAGAGAGAGAGATAGAACTATGCATTAATTCACAGGTGATGTGTATTAATCCAATCACGCGGAACCCAGATGTTAAGTATGTGCGGGTCCACATGGACATGCGATGAATGTCAAGTGAAGAAAAGAGTAAAGTTCGGTTTGCCATTGTAGACGGGATTTGGGATTTTCATAAGCTATAGGTGGAATGATAATTTTTTGCCTTGAACCATGGAACAGCCTACAAAATACCAATATTTTATTATTTTACTGTTTTGTTTCCTTGGGATAAGTAGAAGGGATAACCGGATAACCACGGGAACCAATTTAAATATTCCCGAAAATTTACCACGTGTGGCTCATTATATTCTTAATGAATTTCAAATGAAATAAGTAAAGGATGAATATTTATGGTATAATCGAGCGAATCATTATAATTCTTTCGATCTTCCGTGTATATGTACTACATGATTCTTAATATAAAAACTAGTTTAACTTTCAATTTGGTCCTATACATAAGACCATAATCCAGTTTGTCTCTCTTATTTATCTATTTTCGTAAAAGTAATCCTTATAGTAGTTGCATATGTTAAAGACTCTATCAAATGGTAATTCTAGCTAATACACATGATTAGCAAGAGTATTCTAGGAAAGACAATACATGTTTATTATAAATAATTAATTTAACAAACTTTTTTAATATACTTAAATTATTCAACCAGCTCTTATATTAAATACCAGAGTTAATATATGTTAACAAACTATGATACTTCTGCAAAACCTTCATTTTTACCAGCTGATTAAATTTACCCCCAAGGGTTAATGATTCAAGCAAAAACATGTCTTCAAAAGGGATTCGCAAAGAAATTCGTAATACGACTAATAACGGCTAGCCACGTGTCATCAACGAAACTGTTCAGATTCTCACTACATATCTTGGGGTCTTAACTACAATATTCCTTCATGTTGCGAACATAAATCCAGAGGCTTGATTCACTCAATTTCTAAATTACTTCCTCTCAGACAGTAAACGGTAAACTTCCTCAATATCGTTTTCCTTTTGCATTTCTGACCCCTGCATTCTCTCTATTGGTCTTTCCGTTTTTACCGTATTTTTCAATAAATTAAAGGACTCAAATCGTCAATCAAATTGTATGCAATTTATACCCTCGTGTATCTAGATCATTTAAAGAACGCCCTCCTCGTATTTCTTTGGGCAAATTTAGTATTGCAATTTCTGCAAGCTAACTAAACCATTATTCCAGTTAGAATTAACTGATGGAACAGGAGAGGGATATATATGTATATATATTCTGTACATCATGCATATTTACATCACTTCAAACAGCAAGAAAAGAAAAATGTCTGATTCAACGATGGATTTGGATGAGTTCCGAAGTCCTTTTAATTAAGTAGCAGGAATATTTTGTAGGAGGAAGCGGCCGTGAATTTGGATCTACCTAGTTAAGCATCACCGCGTCTTCTTTCATGAACTTGAACCGGAAGGCCGCCTCTCATGGTGGCGGTAAGACCCGGGACGAAGCGAGGCTCCTGATTTGCCCCAACTGATTGAATATTAAACCTCCGGACCAACGCAACAACCACAGACTTCATTTCCATAATAGCTAATTCTTTTCCCAAACAAACCCTAGGACCAGCCTGGAAAACCGGGTATCTAAATGGACATTCCTGCACAAATACACCATCTTGCAACCACCTCTCGGGCTTAAATTCCAGACAATCGGGGCCCCAGATCTGTTCCATCCGGCCCATCGCGTACGGGTGGTATGTGACCCTGGTCCCCTTGCTTACAAACGTCCCGTCCGGTAACACATCGTCCTCCACGGCGAATTTTGAATCAAACTGAATTGGTGGGAATAGCCTCATGCTCTCATGAACCGCCGCGTTCAGGTAATGCATGTGGCGCATTTGTTCAAAGCTCGCGACCTCCTGATCCGGATCCATGATCCGGTCCAGTTCTTCAAGAATCAACAACTCCACCCGGGGGTGACTTGACAATAAAATGAAAAAACCGGTCAACGCTGCAGCAGCCGTATCACGGCCGGCCAAGAGGAAGCTCACGACAATGTCTCTTAAATACTTGTCGTCGTTGACTGAGCCCATGAATCTGGCAAGAAGATCCTTCCGCGCTGAAAATCCCATCTCCCGAGATTGTTTGATCATCCCCTCCGCTAAATCGTTCACTACGCGAATTGCTTCCTTTAGCTTTTTCTCAGATCCTAAGTTGAAAAACCGTTTGATCTTCCATATTACCGGTGACGCCATCATTGCTCGCTCGGCCGATAGCTTTGACGCTAGGTTAAATGCGTCAGCGAAACTCGACGAGGGAAGAGATGAAAGCAAACATCCTGGATCGAACCCGAACGAGAACTTACAAATGTTGTCGAAGGAGAATCGTTGGAAGATATCTTGCAAGTCCAACACTCCGTCACGCTCACCAGATGCGGTGGAAGCCAGCAGAGGAATTAACCTCGTTCGAATCTCTTCGGTGAATATATCCAGCGCATAGGACCGATTCGCTACGCTGCTAATTTCGAGGCTTGCCATTTTGCGTTGAAACTTCCATGAGTCGCCATCGACATTGAAGATTCCTCGGCCAAGAAGATCGCCGAGAAGTGTCGAGAAAGGCTTGCCTTTCGGGTAGTTACCGAAGCGGGTCTTGAGGATGTGCTGGACATTGTCCGGGTTCGACGTAATTATGTTTCGGAGCACGTGGACGTGGAAGGTTCCGGTGGGCGAGTTTCTGAGGAGGTGAGCGTACCAATCGCACAGGTTGCCGAAGTCGCGAGCCCAACTGGCGGTCAGGTAGCTCCGACAGATATTGCAGTTACAGCATGGCTTCATCCTGAGGACGAAGACTAGAAAGGAAAAAACAGAGAAGAGAGCAGCGAAGGAGAAGAACAAGAAGCAGAAAGTGGTGGACATGGTTTGGACTGATGGAGAAGCTTCAAGATGATCCATTATTCTGTACTGTGTTACTTTAAAATCTGGGAAGAAAGATGTGGAATGTTGTATGAGGTTGAGGAGGAAAGCTAATATATATAGTTGGATGAGGTTAAGTAACTAGCTTGACGGCTGGGGTAATAAATTATCAGAGGAAACAGTGGGCAAAGTCAGTGGTGGGGTTTTCGGTTCTTGTTTGAAAAATGAGCGGTAAAGAAAAAATAATAATAAAGAGGTGGAAATTTGAGAGCTGACAATCAGCAGAGAAAAATGTAAACGCTCATGAAAAACGCGTGCGCAAATGGGTACCGTGTCCACAGAACGCCGCTACCATTTTCCATATCCACGTGATTGTACTATTTATTAATAATTTAATTTTCGAGTTTCGGTAAATTAGGTTTCTAATCAATAGCTTGACATGTGAATGTGAAAAATTCATCATCGCTGATCATAACCATTACCTTGGCAACTGTCACGTCCCAAGTCTTCGCTGTATTTTCTGTTCGTGCCGCCATTTTTACCCATCCTGTCTAGTCTAACTTAGCAAGGAGAGGCTGCTTTGGCCAAAATAATAATAATAATAATACAGCCTCTGGTTTTATAAATTTATCCCCATTTTAATTTTAATTTTTTAAGTTTTAAATTATAGGTTATGATCTCTTGGTTTTTTTATTTTAAATATTAGTCCTTATAATCCAATAAAAATTTAGATCATTTTACCATTTTGAGGGACTAAAACCTATAGCTTCAAATTTAAAGGATTAAAACAAAAATTAGAACAAACTGCAGATATCAAAGATTACATCACCCCAAGAAGGAAAAAAAACAGAGAGAGGTTGCCAACCATTAACAATAATTATATGTACATCACTAAACGAACAGTCATGAATTATAGCTTAACTAGTGTAGGTCCAATATATGCATGAGGGATTAGAGAAAAGTTTAGTATCGTTCAAAGCTTATGGCTTCATAGATTTTAATTTGTTACACTAGTTAGTGCATATGAATTTATTAGCTAGATTCAATGGCAGGTGGATTATATTCTATCCACAACTCACATTGAAATTTGAATCATGGATAACTATTTGCTTTTTATGTCGAGAGTTAATTTTTAAATCTATGGAAAAGAGAGAATAACTTTCAAGATGATATTTACATGCATGAATGGTCACACACACATATATCTAAGCAAAAATAATTAACTGCAAAAAAATCCAGCTCAATGAATTGGAGTCTGGAGAATGAGAGGATCTCAAAACATTATTAATGCATGTGCATCGAGCCGGCCGAGCACAACCTTGATGCTTAGTTTTTTTTTAGCTAAAACATAGGTACTCTCTTATTTGAAGTAATTATATTCGAGACACTGTCGGGCTTTAAATATGGATACCCCTCTCAACAAAAATTTAAACTTTGATTTGTCACGTTATAAGGGACTAATCTTTTTTACTAGATCCCTGTTAGTACTTTGATGCTTAATTGATCCAGAAAATGTTACCCCACCAATGAAATTGTACCAGCAAAGTGGGCGTTTGTCGCTCACACTGCAATTAAGATTTTAACCATAAACGTGTCTCTGATTTCTCTTTTAGTTTACCCTATGACGGCTGACTCATCAGTTCAATTTTACGGTTTCCAATTTGCTTTCCCTCTTTCTGCGCAGTCCCTTTCTTCCATTTCAAGTCTTCTCATAAAATATTACAGGGAAAATTTGTATATTATTGATCTTCTTTTATGCAAGGCTACCATATCTAAACGAAACATTTATACTATTTATTTATTCGAATAGAAAACATGTCTTGGATTTTTTAATAAAGAATCATTTTCCGTGACCCTTTTTTTTTTAATAAAAACAAACTACCAACCGCAATACGAACTTATGAAAATACATAATTCAATATAATATTAGTAGTCAAAGTACGACCGTCTCCAAAATCCCCCTTATAATACCAACATTAGATATAATTAAAAAGTGCCATGTATGGCAAAGTTGACGAATTTTGTTGGATCAAGACTTCTCTTTCCAGAAATACAGTATGTGAAACGTTTTAATTAATTTAATATGATTGCCTTCCTCCGTCACATATGATCTTCTCCAATTCTTTTTTTTTTCCCCCCGGCTTGCCAATGCCTTCTCCAATTCATTGTCACACACATATATATTTGACATTTTTAGTACTATCTTCTTTATCTCCTTTTGGGTTTGAGGCTTCTTAGAGACTGAAGTTTCCTATGGCCGAATAAATTTTATAGTCTTCTGGTCCTAAATATAAGACCCTCATTATTTATGACTAGAGGAATAGTATTTTTTCTTGGGTTTGAAATCAACACAGCTATATATTTGTGGACATTCGTTATTTGGAGTTCAGATACTCTAATTATCTTAACGATAAATATGCATGCCATGCCAATTATAAGACGAGAGATCGGGAGATGGTCCACGTTTTAATTTTTAATTTTTTTAAATAAAAACATTATTATTATTTGAAAACTAATAGTTATAAGAAAATTACTCTAGATCTATATCATATTCCTATTGAAATTTAAATTATAAAGATAAAAATAAAATCAAAATGATTCAGTTTTAATTTGAATGGTGTCCATATTAAGACGTCCTCTAAAACGAGTGGAGAACTTGCATTCCAATAGCTGCCTCATTTTTCAAGCATGCTAACCAAATCAAACGGCTGCCTTCTTGAACTTTTTCTTCTTTGTCTTTCCTCTTGTATTTTAAAATGAATTAGAATGTTTGTTTTTATAACGAAGTCAAAGCCAATAAATTTATAAACTGAACATATAACATAGTCACAAATATGCCTTATTTCTTGCATTGGCATTCATCTCTTTATAATTAATCTCTTGACTCGATCGCGACCTAAATATATCATTAATTGAACTGCTCAATTTTCTCAGTATAATTTTAAGTCGTTTTCATTTCTGTATTGGTGAAAATAACAGGATATACCCGCCTTACTTATCGAGTGAGCTTTTCAAAGGAAATTTGAAAATAAGTTAAGGAGGAAAAAAAGAAAAATTTATCGATAGGCTAATTTATGAGAAGGTTACGTCTTAAAAGATCAAAGTAGAATTTTAGTCCTGGGAAAAATACAAGCAAGAAAAAAAAGAGGAAATTTTGGTTGAAAATCCCTGTTTGAAAACTTAATTGGTTAAAAAGATATAAATTTGAGTGAATGCAACTATAATCCGCGAGTACAATTTTTTTTCTGCTGCGTGCAAGATATCATTAATGGTATGCAACAATCATCAATAGCGGGGAAAAAAAAAGTTACACTCACGGGTCATAATTGCACGCACTCAAATTTAGGTTTCTTTAGCCAATTAACTTTTCAAACAAAGATTTTTTTACCAAATTTTTCAAAAAAAAGGGGTTAATATAATTTTTTATTCTTCAAGTTTGCCCTCATTTTGATTTTAATCTCTCAAGTTTTAAACTATAGGTTTTGATTTTTTAGGGAGCAAAATGGTCCAGGTTTTTATCGGATCAAGGATCAATATTTTAAATAAAAAGAAACTTGAGGGACCAAAATCTATGATTTAAAATTTGAGTGATCAAAACTAAAATAAGAATAAATTTAAAAGACTAAAGTTCCTATTAACTTAAAAATTATTATACTCAAAATATGTGCATAACTTAAAAGATCAAAGCAGAATTTTTTTTTATAGATATATAATAAAAATTTAATTCTACGACAATACTCATCAAGTTCTAAGTGGATCCCAGTTTAACCAGTCACGAAAGCTTCATGATTTAGAAGGTGTTTGGGAAGCTGTAAAAGTGCTTCTCGAAAATACTTTTTTATAAATCGAGATAAATTTTTCTACACGTTTACTTCGTATACTGTAAAACCACTTTTAAAATCATAATTTTATTTCCATTCAAACACCCTTCTAGACATAGAAAATAGTAGAGAGAAGCTAAAACACAATAGTAGTACTGCTAGAAATAAGACTGGAGAGTTCTACCAGGAAAAAAAAAAAAAAGAGGAAAAGAAATAGGACCGGAGAAGTACAATAATTTTAGCGGAAGAATTAATGCGGCGCGCCCAGGTTGTCGGGGGAGTGTTTGATTAGTGTTAAAATTGATTAATGGTATGCGCAGTGCATTTCAAATTTTCAATACGGCGCAGAACCAATTTCGGACCTAAACTTATCATCTAGGAATTTGAATTGTTTACGTTTCATTTAAATAGTTCAGGTTTAATTTTTTTCATTTTTATTTAAAATAATCATTTTAACATGTATAGAATATAAAATAAAAATAATCTCTTAATTATTATTTTTTTTAAAATAGCTTTTCCTGTTTAAAAATAATTAATTAAATATTTTAAATATGAACTATTTAAATAAGATATTTAAAATATTCATCAAAGATGAGTACTGAAACCGGTTATGTATAACAACCTTTTGATGGATCGCCATTGCAGTGGACACTTCTCTGTCGGCCGTCATTTTCATAACAAATTAAATATGGTGGTCAGGATGTCTCAAACTCAGATCAATTACGTCGTATGTGTGCACAACAACATGTGTTCCGGTGAGGCTACTACTAGCTGATAGGGTAATAAGTCCACATAATAATACTACTCCTAAATATAAGATTTCTATTCACTTTATTTATTTTTTTAAAATAACCCTTATAGTAGTATACATGTCAAATGTTACATTAAGTGGTAGTTCTAGCCAAAACACATAATTAACAAGAAATACCTATTTATTATGAGTAATTAATTTAACTAATTTTTTTAATCTATTATAATTAATCATCTAACTCTTATATCAAATATCGTGTAATAAATAGTGCTGAAACAGAAACCTCCCTTAGGTACGCAAGTTCAGCATGTTACTTGATAGCTGTCGCTAATGCGTGCGTGAAAAATCAAGACTCAACAGAATCCACAAAACATCATTCGTGTCGGCCGTTTTCATCAGTTTCCTTGATGGTTTATTATACGGAGAACAAATTCAACCCGAATCAGCTGTGATTACATAAAAAGCGTCTCTAGCAAATATCCTATTCAATTCTTCAAATGGCGCCGAATATATATTGCAAGAACGA